GGCAGACTGTAAAAGCTACCGATGTATCCGATAAGCTCCGTGTATTTCAGTGAATCGCTAGATTCAATGCGCACAACCTGAACTGATCCTAATGCTGCTGTGAAAAAAAGAAGTATATCCATGTTGGATAGAATATCCAATTTAAATAAAAAAATAACCTTAAGGGGAACAACAGAGGCAGACACCAAGACCAATAGACTAGAGATATGCCTTGAATATTTACATCCTCTTAAGCATTGAGTGCATAGTGAACATTTCTTCAGCTCGGCTCTGTCGGTGGTGGCAATAGCCGCAGAAAAATTTAGCGGGATCGTGAGATGGAGAGGCAAAGATGTAGGGGACAAAAGTTCAGAATGAGACGAGAGGGAAATTCGAGGGACAGGGGAAGCAAAAAATAGGTGATCGGGACAGGTCCCTAATGCTAATGCGAAGGTGTGGCGCGGAAATAATCTTGAATAAGTTGTACTGCAAAAGTGACCGTTAGCATCTGGTTAGCGTTATCCTTAAACACTCAACGGCACATAATGTACTGTTCCACAACAAGCCTGAGGAGAGTCTCTCCTGTCAGACACATGAGGGGGGGCTCAGGTGAGCTAAACGAGAATCGCTGAGTAGTGTTCCTTATTGTAAGACTGCATTCTCGTCACCGAAGCTCCTTTCAGAAAGATTATTTCTCTGAGGAGAGGACTCTGCGGCGCACACTTCATATTCTAGGTGATTGTCTCCGATGCACCGTTAATATCAGCTCTCTTGCTTACCGGATCTCCGTTACCTGCTAGATCTAATATCTGCAGTTATTAGTATGATCTTAGATCACAACAACAACACGTCCTCTCACCTCCTCCCCCCATCTCTCTCCTCATCTCCCTCTACTCATATCACACTAAAGCGCTATTGACCACACACACACAGAGCCGGCTTGATGACACAAGCACACGTGAATTTCACAATGCAACTCTCTGATATGGTCTGGTGTCTTGCCTCTGTTGCGATTCACGAAACACGGAAAGTTACAGTCACCTACCGTTGTCTCTGTGTCATGATGAGGGTTCACGACATAACCCAATGAAATACATAAAAAGGTCCATTTCATGCCCATTTCCACTGATCATAAATAACCATTGTTAGAAAGTCATCAAGAGACTACGACATAAGGCGCCTAAGATTGGCCCGGGGCCATCTAGTATTAAATAGCTCGGGCATGAAGGCTCACCTGCCGGTTAGCCCGAATCGGGACAAAATCTATATAACCAGACTTACAGATACAGTCTAAGAGTGAAAACACCAGAAACAGATGAAACTAAACATATCTATAATAGTACGAGTTGGAGAGAATTATACATATAACAACCTGAGATATAACACACACAAACAACACAATTGAATCATGCAGAGCAATAGCGTGTCACCATACACAGAACTAAACACACACACAAACAAAAACTTCACTCGCTTAATAACCAATATCGATCAGACTAACATAAATCAACGCCACATAGATATAACACAACTGACTTAATTAACCTAAACAAATATACACACAACAGCACAACTGGTAGCCACAGAATTGCGAGAATTAGCTATTGTAAACAATAACACGGCCCGAAGCTTCACAGATCAACAGACACTACAACACATGCAACAACCACTACACATTAAATGGTTAGACATTAGAAATGACCTATTACCTTTCTTCAAATACTCTTCTTGTCTGTCACATAAGTGGCGCAACTGAAGCGGGATTGCGCTAAAGGAAATTATTTTGACCGAAGAATTTAGATTGCCGGCTAACAAGGAACTCTGACGTGCCATTTTGTGTGCTCGCCGGATGCGCTCGGCTCCTCTCGACTGCTCTCGATCTGCTCGTCAGCTTCCGGATGAGGAGGCATTCGTCGACCAACTTACCGTAGATAACATGTACAACATTTTTTAACAGGGGCCATAATAGTGTAATAATTTTTTTTGGCAGTTTACAACTGAATGTAATGTTTTCCTACTTTTTACATCTGGAAGGCATTTGCTTTCATCAATGGAAAGGTCTGACCCAACACTAAGTATTCTTATAGCGTATGCAGGAAATGCAAGAGAGGCAAAACACAAACAAGAACAACAAAACAAGTGAAATGAAGATACTTGAAATTGTACAATATAAATTGGTGGTGGTTCATACTTATAATTCTAGTCTAGAGAATGCACCAGACAGCATTCGAAGCCCTTTAAAAATCTAAATGTTCTAGGGGCAGGCCTCCCAAACTAATTCGCCGCGCGCATTTTTCAGGGCAATCGCTTGGGCCATCAGGGCTCTGTAAACTTAGCTTAGCATGCCCCAGGCCATCTCCCAAAATCCTTAAGTCATGCACTGTCTACAGAATAGGATTTATATTGTGGCAATTTTCAGAAATCACTTTGGTTTTTCATACAGCATCTCTGTAAACTACGTGTTATCAAAAATTCGACCTGCCTTTAACGGTTCGATTGAGGCCCAATAGCTCCAGTAGCTCCAGCCCCCACCCTCTCCTGTAGAGCACAGTATGCTCTGATTGGTTGGGACGTTGTAAACGCGCTGAGCTCCGTGGAGGTGTGTTCCTTGTTTAGGATTACACAGCGAAACACAGCCCCAACTCCCCCTGAGCACACACAAATGTCACAGCCGAAGTAAGAACAATAATGGGCTTTGATATTGAGTAAGAAAAAGGTGATAAACGCTGTGAGAATGTTGCAGAGAGAATTTTGCCGAAATCCTACTGTCTGTTATCAGCCTGCAGCTAGGGAGGAGAGATCAGCAGAGCGCATGCACTGAGTGTGTGTGTGAGGAAGTCCCGTGGATGGTCAATTGGACCAATCAGCGCGGCTTACGTAACGGCTCCGTGAGACGAACGTAACGCTCCACGGATTGGTCCATTTGAGTTCCTGGGTAATGCATGACATACATGAGTTACCCGGAGAATTAAAAATGGACAGTGACGTATCTCCAACGAGGCGTTTTGGGGAGGTATTTTCTGTGTTAGAGTTTTACTCGCTACAGGGTGTACTTTGAGGGTTTTGACTCTGCAGACCGTTTACATGCAGAAAAACCTTCATAACACACAAGGGGACGGGTAATAACCGGAAAAGCATGACATGGGACATTTAAAGGTAGGGTAGGTAAGAATGGAGAAACCAGCTTGAGTGCGCTCAAGTACACAACGGAAAAAATTCTGCCTCTTCCTTCAGTCTTCCTTACAGAGCCCCTCCTCCAACACACACGAACGCGCACATGACCAATGAGGGCACGAGATAAGTTTGTGCACAGATGGAAGGCTGACAGGCAGGTAGGCCATCCAGTTATTTTAGCCGGGCCGGCTCAGATGATTGGTCGTGCTTTTTACATTGCTACGGCTTCCACAGATGACATTTTTTATGTATTTATTGTCAAAGCATTTAATATATTCATTGCTATCGGGATGTTAAGAGCATTCCATGGAATATAACAAAAAGTGTTTCTGAAGGGAATTACCTACCCCACCTTTAAGTATAATTATGCTAAAAAGGATAAATTCTTCTTATATTGTAAATCATCCCAAAATGCAATACCACAAAAAAATAAGCCCAATACGTTTTTTACAATTTGTGAAGCCCAAATTAGTATGTTTTGTAACCTTTGTGTTGACTTTTTTAATTTTATTTCAGTGTGGCTTCTGAAGCGCACACAGAATAATGAATTCTACTCATAATCTTTAAAGAGGACCTGTTGTGCTTTTGGTGTTAGTGTGTTAGTGTGTGTGTGGTTTTTGTGCATGTAAATGGTCTGCAAAGGATAAAATCCCTGTGTTCCCTTTCTCCCCCCCCTTGAAACGCCTCAATTGGACTCCTTTGTCCCTTAACATAGTTGCATCACGATGTAACACGTGCACTTCTATATGCTAGAGCTCTGACACATTGTACGTGATAGGCTAAGGGGCAGGACATCTCTAAGCAGTTGAGCAAAAGAAGCCAGCCAGCTAACCAATCAGAGCAGAGTCCATAGACACACACAAGGTTAAATCCCCTGTCTCTGGCGTGCCTGGACAAAATGATCTCTGTTATCATTTAGTAATAGAATATAGTTTTTTCAAAGGTTTGGTGCCATCTTGTATAAAGAGACATGAAAATGGTTTGAGAATAATTAATAATACGTTTAACANGCGACCACTGATATACATATATTAAAGGTCCCATTTCATGGCCATTTCCACTGATCATAATTCCATTGTTGAGGTCTCGGGGCTCGACATTAAGGGCTGCCTGAGCAGCCCTTAATGTCGAGCCCCGAGACCTCAACAATGGAATTATGATCAGTGGAAATGGCCATGAAATGGGACCTTTAATATATGTATATCAGTGGTCGCCAACCAGTCGTGAACCTCATCATGACACAAGAGACAACGGCAGGACTGTAATTTCCCGTGTTCAGTGAACGCAACAGAGGCAAGACACCAGACCAATCAGAGAGTTGCATGGAAATACACGTGTGCTTGTGTCATTCAAGCTCGGCTCTGTGTGTGTGTGGCAATAGCGCATTTAGTGTGATAGAGAGTGGGAGAGAGGGAGAGAGAGGGACCGGTGCTAGCGGGGACCGTGATGTTAGCATCTGGTTAGCTAGCTGCACTAACGGACATAAGGAGCTGTTTCCACAACAAGCTGGAGGAGAGTCCTCTCCTGTCAGACTGAGGGGCTCAG